TTGATCACCAAATAAATTAAGTGATTCCCCCAACCCTGCTGTATTTGGAAAGATCTGTCTTTTTGAGAATGCCCCATGGTGCATTTATGTAGTATTGAGGTTTGAATTAGCTTGACTCATTGGTATACTGAGAATTCTGTCTCAGCTCAATTAAGCCTCCATTCAGCTGCCTATGATGGAATTGGCCCCCTTCTTCCACAGACTTCAATAAGTTAGAGATTCCTTCCCCATCCTCCATCGGAAATGTAAGATGCACTGCCTCCGTTTGTCTCAGGACCTTGTTATCTCTGGATACTGGAGAGATTGGGAAATGAAGTGTTTTAGCAAAGTATATATTTTCTACACAAAATCTGTAGCACTGTACTCCCCATTGTTCATCGATTCGCTCGAGTGGCCCCAGTAACGTCTCCATCGTGAGACTTGCTGTTACTATGTTTGGCATATTGAATACGTCACGGGTAGCTTGCCAGGCTTTGCCGTGCGGGCGAGATACTCTCAGTAGCTTGCCGGGCTCTCCAAGAGGGACAGAGGAATCGAACCCGGCTCAGCTGGGCCAGCTGCATGCAAGGCAAATGCCCTACCACTATGCTATCATGCCAGCCCAAAATCAGGGTAATTTTTTAGGGGAAAGGGAAAAGTGAAAGTATTGAGTCTCCTGAAACAATTAGCGCTCCCAATTTGCTTTTGCTGTTTTAGGTAATGTTGTTTTTATTTAGAATCTACCTTAAGGGTTATATTTTGTGGCTGAATATGATTTGAACAAAAATACCACACGGGGCACTATTTAGAGTCCGGAGAACGATCCCTTCCCAAGATTGCTTCTCCATGGAAGCAGAAACTGCCTATGTCCTTGTCTAGGGAGGGATTTGGTCTTCATTAAAATAAATTTAAATTAAATTAAAAGATGATTAGTTTGTCTGGGACTCAAGAGAGAATACGGCAGGTAGGGCGCTTGCCTTCCCGATGGCTGATCCGGGTACAATCCCTGGCACCACATAGGGTTCCCCCCAAGCTTCTTGAGCACAGAGTCAGTAGTCAGACCTGAGCACAACTGGTTGTGGTCCAAAACTAAGCAGAAGATGAATCCTTGGAACCATCGCCCCTGCCCTGAGTGCTTGTTAATCCCCTTCTGCACACAAGGCACCACACCAGCGCTGTCTCTGACACAGAGAACAATCAGGCGTCGATCCAGCCATTTCAGGTGTGTCCTGTCCAGGTGAGGGAAGAAACGCCTACGTAAGGGGCTGCAACAGAAGGCAGAATGTGCTGAATCTGATAAGACACATACAAATAAAATCTTATAGGTGTTTGGGAAAGATGATTTTTGCAAGAAAGAATTGAGTTAGTATGATCTGGAGATCTTTAACATATTTTCACTAAAGGAAAAAAAAAAGAATTATTTGAAGCACTGTGTTCATTTTCATAGCATCTCCTTACGACCAGAAAAGTCTATAGAAAAAATGTGTGACCGCCTGCTATTCACAGCCCTTACAGATGGGCAGCCTTGCGTCCTCCCACCTCTAGTTCTGCAGTAGTCTGCAGAGGTTTGGGAAGGAAGGGTTATTTGTGGAGTGTCTGCCATGTGCCTGGCATTTTGATTTATTTCAAGAGTCTTTATTGACTACCTCGGCTAGATTTACTTATGGGATCTTCATTTAATCCCCAGAAATCCGGTAAAGGAATTATAATTGCTTTTGAGGCAGCTCAAGCTCCAGGAGCTTAAAGCTTGAAAAGGTCACCTACTTCGTAAGCGCCAGAGCGGCATTTGAGCCCAGCCCACCGTGCCTGGGTCTCTGCCTTTCACTGTGGCTTAACGTGGCTTTGGCGCTGTGAGTGCTGAACTGTTAACTTCCTCCCTCCCACCCCCCACCCCCCAACCCCCACGGCCAACTGCTTAAAACTAGAGCTCCCTGGATATTTTTGACTTTAGACTTCACGTTTTATCAGATTGCTAACTAAGATTTACCTGCTTAATTTTTTTTTTTTGACTTTTGACTTTTGGGCCACATCTGGCCGTGCTCAGGGGTTTTTCCTGGCTCTGCACTCAGTATAGACTCCTCGTGTGCTCAGGGGTCCATATGGGATGCCAGGGATTAAACCTGGGTCAGCCACATGCAAGGCAAATGCCCTCTGCTGTCCTTTTACTCCAGCCTCACCTGCTTACCTGTTATTAGAACTCAACATCCTTTTGCTGTTTTTTTTAATAGAGAAATACACACACACACACACACATATATGGTTCAGAGTTCAAAAAGATACAAATTTCATTCAATAAAGGGTTCATTTCCCTTCAGCCATGACTCTCAGCTAAAGAGCTTTCCTCCTTGGAAGCCATCAGGCTTGTGTATATCCTTTCTCAATATTCTGTGCAGTGACTAACCTTGTTTGGGTTGTTTGTCTCATTGTTGCGATCTTGTGGATTTTTCCCCATCCTTTTATTTTTTGCTTGGATGTCCTTGAAAGATTGTATGTTATTTCTTGGTGCAGGGGATCAAACCCACAGCCTCACATGTGTGAAAAAAGTGCTCCTCCACTGACCTATAACCCTGGCCCTGGAACACTCTTTTTCTTTTTTTAAAAGAAGAGAGACAAGTCAATAGTTTGAGTACGCGTGTTGCATGTGGGAGGCCGAGGTTTGATCCACAGTAGCAGCTTGTCCCCTGAGCACAGGATCAAAGAGTAGTTTCCGAGTGTCTCTGGGTATGACCCAAAAATCAAGCAAGAAAGGAGTGACCTCTCCATACATGTGACTCCGTGTTTCCGCTGTCACCCTGCAGCCTTTAGTGAACATTTGTTCTTCCTGATGACTGTTCCCTCGCTCCATGACAAAGAGTCTGTTTCCAGAACTCTTTTACTAGCAGGAGTTTATCCTGCTTTCCTCCTTACCCAGTGAATATATTTCTGCAGTCTAAAGAATGCTTCAGCCCACATTCACCTGCCACTCTCTTCCCCACATCTCATACCCTCCTCACCATTGAGCCCACTTATGGGGGTGCAGTGGGGGAAAGAAGCCGAGTGTGCCCCACTGTGCTGCCTCCTTCCCTCCCCGCTGAGGCGTGGACGCCCTCGGATGGGGGAGGATGGCGGCAGGAGCAAGGGGTCTTTGAGCCAGCCCCACTTCCTCTGTGCTTGTCCAAAAGACTCACTGAGCACATTTGGGGCTCCCGGCCTGCAGGCCCCTGTGCACACACTCCACAGAACCATGTTTCTGTCTGTTCATGGCCTCTGACCTTCCTTGGTTCCCCTTCTTTGAGTCACAGATGGGGCCCGGTAGGGTCCATTGCCTCGGGGCTGGCATGTGGGGATGAGTATCTCAGATCATTCCGTTAGAAACTGCTCAGGTGGTCAGCCTTTGAAGTGATGCTGTTGTTTTGTGGGTCTTGCAGTACTGGGAATTGAACCCGGGTCCTTCACGTTCAAGGCATGTGCTCTCCCACAGACCCAAGCCACATCCCCAGCTGCACTTGCTCTGTTGACCTCCTCGAAAGAGACAGATTCTGCCCACCCTGTTCCTATCTGTCCTGCCCAGGACCTTTGGACATATTTCCCCAAAATAGGACCTCCCACGGCTTAATTTTTGTTAATATTTTACAGTGATTCATCAGTTTGTTTTGTATATCTTTTTTAAAAATACATTTCCTAAAGTACAAAAATAATGCCTCTGTCAAGCAGGTGAGAGTTTCTCAAGGCCTGCCCCGAGGAAAGAACAGTCCCCCCACAGCTTCCTTTACATTCAATCTGTACACTGCGAAATCAGTGGCTGGAAATCTTTTTAACAAAAAGAGTCCTGTGATTTTCTTAGTCATAGTAGCTGTCTCTAAATATGACTTCGTATTGGATACTTTCATAATGCAGAGCCCAACTGACACCAAATTTTCACCCCAGATTTGTCAAAGAAACTTTCTGAAATCAGTTAACATAGACTCTTGTAAGGGCCAGCAGCTCCATCAAAGGGTTTTGGTCTCAGGCCAAGCTAGTGACCGGCTCTTCACAGGACGAGTCCTTGCCCTTTCATTGCAGGCCTGAGCTGGTGACCAGCTCTTCACCGGGCAGTCCTTACTCCTTCGTTGCAGGCGTGGCTTGAACTCGTCTCCCTTCCAGGGCATTTCCAGTGCTAGAGTTGTGTGGGCCATGTCAGGTGGGGCCCTGGTCTCTGTGGGGGCCCTCTCTCCCCCTCAGAGACTGGAGTCGTGTCCTCTTCAGTCCTCTTGTATGACTCCCTAGTGGAAGATGTTTTGTTTCCTTTGTGTTGACTTTACAACTGAAGGAAATGAAGACTGAGAGGAACCCAAAGCTTTGGGGACTCACATGGGTGAACCCACGCGTAGCCAAGTGCCCTGGGGACTAGCCGAGGAACCTTCTTTTCCTTTCTTTTCTTTGAGAGTGTTGCCCCATCTTGTTTATCCTGGGCCTCCCAAGCAGCATTCAGGAGGCCTGGGGCCCACTCCTGATGGTTCTCTGCCCAGTCGTACTGCCTGGCAGTAGGTCCCCAGGCCCAGCATTTCCCAGAGTCCTCTGGGACCATACCTTCCACACCCAGAGCTTTGTGTGTGTGTGTGTATGTGTGTGTGTGTGTGTGTGTGTGTACGTGTGTGTATGTGCAGGCATGCATGCATGCATGCATATATGTGTATGTGTGAGTGTGCATGTGTGTGTACATGCACTTGCATATGTGTGAGTGTGTATGTGTGTGTACATGTGTGTGTAGGGACCATGCACTGCCAAGGGATCAAACTCAGCTGGTGCTGCCGCCCTTTGACAATCCCCACAGGCCTGTCACGTATTCTTTCACCAAGACAGCACTGACTTCCACCCCTGAGAGATCTCCCATCACTGGCAGACCCCCAGTGGCCCTGTAAGAGAAGGTTTCCCCCAAGAACCACGTGAATAGATTCCCTTTGCCTCTTGCTCACCGCCGGGACTCCAGGGCACCCGCGCAAATGCCGGCAGGCCGGGAGGGCCTGCCCACTGACCTTTCTCCTTTTGTCCCTCCCCTCTAGGCAATCTTCGGCAGCCAGACGCTGTCTAACTCCAGCTTATGGACAGTTAACACAGGTGCAGGCTGCAGAATTTCAAGTGCCACCTCCAGTGGCCAGAAACCCACCACCCTGCCACAAAAAATGGTGCCACCGCCAAGTTCTTCCTCCCTCATCCCCAAGCCCCCGCCCAGTCACAAACAAGCCCTCAAAAAGGCAGCGTCCCAGAGGACATCCAAGTAAGTGTGTATTCCTCTTCTTCTTGCTGTTTTTCTGAGTTTTCTTCCAGGCAACTTGGCCGGATCCACCTGCCGCGAACAGGAGCGCATGGAGGGTTGGGGAGCGGGGCCCAGGCAGCTCCGCCTCTGCTCCGCTGGGCCCCCCTGCATTCAGAGGAGAGGGGCTAACTCATTCTTGGAGCCTCTTGCAAAAGCCCCTCGGAATAATAGGACAGAGGGTGGAGCGCCGGCCTTGCAGAAGCCACAGTCCACCCAGGTGTGATTCCCAGCATCCCATACAGTCCCCAAGCACGGCCAGGAGGAATTCCTGAGCTCAGAGCCAGGAGTAACCCCTGAACATCACCGGGTATGTGTGTGTCCCTTCCTTTCCCAGAAAATAAATAAAAATAGAAAGAGTGCCCATTTGACAGTGCCCCAGAGCATGGGGCCTAGAGCCCTGAACCATGTCCTCCCAGATGGGTCTGCTCTTGGTTGTTCTACAGGACCACGCAGGTCCGGTCTCCTGTAAAAGGCAGGACCCTGCCCTCTGCCCATCTGCTCTCTTTCAGGCCCCTGAGTGGCAAGTGGCATGCCTGGGGCTGTGGTGGGGAGGTGGGCTCCTATGTCTTGGGTTAGTGGACTCTGGATCATACCAGTGTCTCTCGAGACCTTTCAGAGTTGACCTGTCTTGCCTCAGAAACACTTCTCCATGCCTTGCGTCAGGCATGCGGGGATGGGGCCTCCTTGCCACCTCCAGCCGTGTTTCAGCTGGTGAACCAGAAACGGGAACAGTGAAGGGTATTGACCATTTCCCACTTAAAAATGATAATCTTCAGGGCTAGAGATAGTAAAGAGGGTTAACACCCTTGCCTTGCGTGCGGCCAACCCAAGTTCAATCCCCGGAACTCTGTATGGTCCCCTGAGTACCACCAGGAGTGATCCCTGAGTGCAAAGCTAGGAGTAACCCCTGAGTATCATCAGCTGTGGCCCAAGAACAAACCACAAATAGTCTGGAAGATCCTCCGAGTATCACCCAATAGCCTGACATCTAGAGGAGGTTTGTGCATTTCCCCTGCTCTGTTTAAGGCTCCTCATTCATTCTGCCCTTCACACAAAAAAAAAAAATCTAAGCCCTAAGAAAGTCTTAAGGCAGCAAAAGCACTGGCTTATTTTCTTCTTGGATGGCAAGTCAAATTCTGGCTGCGGGGTGAAATTAGTCCCTCTGACCGTTTAAATTCTGTTTCCATGATAGTCAAGTGGCTGAACAGCTTGCTGGAATTCTCTGCTGTTGGAGGGGGTGGGGGCTGCAACTCGGGGTCAGAGGCCAGAAACACAATAGAAAGGCCTGGGAGCTCATTTCCTCTCCAGAAAGAGCAGAGAGCACTGTTTGGGGGAAGCCTCTGTAAATCAGACTACGGCTGCTGACATCATCACTTGGCCTCAGTTTCCTCTTTTGTGAAATGGGAGTGATAATTGGACCTAGGCACTACATTGTAGCCATGCTCACATCTGGAAAGAGCTCGGGGTGAGGCCTCACACGCGGGACCCTCTGCCTGCCCTTAGTACGTCAGCAGTGGCCTCTCACTCCGGGTCACTGTCAGGAAGTCGGGGAGGCAAGTGTGGACGTGGATGCGCTTCTGTGTCCCCATGTGTGGGTGCTGCCATCGTTCCCAGTCCCCTGCGGTCCCCGCCAGCGGCCCCTGTGGTTCATGCTGGTTAGTGGAAGCTCCGAGGCTCCCCACACAGATGGTGGGGCCCGGCAGAGGAGACGCCACTCCCTGCCCCGGGCGCACGCTTCCAGCCTCCTAGGTGGAGTTGCAGCTCAGTGGACGGACTTTGCTTGGCTTCATTTTTGTGGTTTCTGTGCTCTGACAGGCAGGAGTGTGGGAAAACCGGAAACAGCTCAGCACCAAAAATGCACAGAAGGGGGGAAAAAAACAAGATTTCTTCAGAATTTAAGAAACATAATCCAAGTATCAAAAGGCATGCTGTGAGGCGCTGTTCCAGGAAATAGTTTCCAGTTTGCCTTTAAAACCCTAGCACAAATCTGTGAAGCTAACTAAGCTTGCACCAGCGGACGCGTGAACAGCATCTCTGTAGAGGGAACATTGACTTGTGAAGCCGGGGGGTTGTGAGCAGGCCTCACTGTTTCTAATATTCCCCTGACTCTGAGGAAAAAGAATAGCATTGTTTTGATCTGAACTGGCTGTACAACTGGTTTGTTCTCTGAAGTTTCCAGATAAACTTTTATTTTTTTTTTAATTAATTTCAGATTTACGGGTGGGGGGGGAAACGTTGAAGATGGTATAAAAATAACTGTACCAAATTTTCCCAACTGTTAACAGCTGAGTCGTTAACAACTTATGTTGCCATGATACACCAAGAATATACTGCACTAGAGTGGCCAGAGCCATGGTACAGCGAGTTAGGTGCTTGCCTTGCACACAGCCGATCCAAGTTCAATCCCTGCATCCCATATGGTCCCCCGAGCCTGCCAGGAATGATTCCTGAGCACAGAGTAACCCAAGAATAACCCCTGAGCATCTCCATGTATGGCCCCCAAACAATAACAACAAAAAGAATATGCTATACTTTAAAGCTATTCTTGGCATGTGACTCCAGATCAAACTCTTCATGGTTACAGACACCGGGATCCTGGGAATTGGTTGATAAGGATTGGGTAATTGGTTTTTATTCCTCGCCAGCCTCGCAAGTTGCCAAGCACTCATGTGATGCTGTTTTCCTATTTCTTTTTTTTTTTTAATTTTTATTTGTGAAACACCATAAGGTACAGTTGTAGACTTACCAATTTTTGTGCTTGGGTTTCAGTTATACAATGATCAAGTACCCAACCTTCCACCAGTGCCCATTCTCCACCACCAATGATCCCAGTAGCCCTCCCACTCACTCCCACCCCCTATACCCCAACCCACCCCGCCTCTGTAGCAGGGCATTCCCTTTTGCTCACTCTTTCCTTTAGGGTGTTGTAGTTTGCAATAGAGGTATTGAGTGGCAGTCATGTTCGGTCTATAGTCTACTTTCAGCATGTATCTCCCATCCTGTGAATCCTCCCAACACCCTTTATTTGGTGCTCCCTTCTCTATCTGAGCTGCCTTTTCCCCTAGCATGTGCAGCTGGCCTCTAAGCCATGGATTAAACCTCCTGGTACTTATCTCAGCTATTCTTGGATATAAGTCTCCTATTTTGTTACTTTATGTTCCCCAGATGAATGCAGTCTTTCTATGTCTATCCCTCTCTTTCTGACTCATTTCGCTTAGCATGATACTTTCCATGTAGTACCACTTGTATGTAAATTTCATGACTTCATCTTTTCTAACAGCTACATAGTACTCCATTGTGTAGATGTACCAGAGTTTCTTTAACCAGTCATCTGTTCTCGGGCACTCAGGTTTTTTCCAGATTCTGGTTATTGTAAACAGTGCTGCAATGAACGAACAAGTGCAGATGTCACTTCGACTGTACTTTTTTGCCTCTCAGGGATATATTCCCAGGAGTGGTATTGCTGGGTCAATTGGGAGCTCAATTTCTAATTTTTTGAGAATCATCCATACAATATTCCAAAAGGGCTGAACCAGTTGACATTCCCACCAGCAGTAAAGGAGGGTCCTTTTCTCGCCACATCCGCGCCAACACTGGTTGCTTTTGTTCTTTTGGATGTGGGCCAGTCTCTGGTGTGAGATGGCATCTCATTGTTGTTTTGATCTGCATCTCTCTGATGATTAGTGATGTAGAGCATATTCTCATGTGCCTTTTTGCCATTTAGATTTCTTCTTTGAGAAAGTTTCTGTTCATTTTGTCGCCCCATTTTTTGATGGGGTTGGATGTTTTCTTCTTGTGGAGTTCAACCAGTACTTTGTATATCCTTGATATCAACCCCTTGTCGGATGAGTATTGGGCAAATATTCTTTCCCATTCTGTTTTCCTATTAAAATGGGGAGAAATGGTGTATTGTTGGGTTACCAAGGAAAGGAAGTGACTTAATACAGGTCAAGCACAGATTCACTGCCTGCCATGGAGCATGTGCTAAGTTAACACCAGGTCTTCTGGTTGATGATCAGATGGCATGTCAGGGCATTTTCATTTTTTCACTCTCACCCTTCAGATGCATTGCTTCACTTGCTGGGCGCTAAATGTGTCTTTCCTCCTGAGTCGGGTCAGACAGTTCGGGAACCCTCAGTTATGACCAGGGAGACTTAGTCATGCTGAGGAACGCTATCGTCACCTCAGGAGACACAGCAAGTGGGAATCTGTAATGAGCTTTGGCCCATGTCATGCCTCTGTTTGGGGGGCTGAGCCACAGACCTCCCCTGGCGCAGAAGTTGGCCTTGGAGAACTATAGAAGCCATTTCCTTGTCCTTGAGGGATTGAGCTTGGAGAATAGTAAGTCATGAAAGATGGAATGTTGTTTGGATTGGGTGCAAGCATTGCTGAACATCAGAGTAGTGGCGGCCTACTGCATTATGCTCAGATTCAAGTCACTTTTCCTCTAACGGCTCCAGTTTCCCATCTATAAAGCAAAAACCACTGTCCCCACGGAATAATTAGCCAAAATAATTCGTTCTCTGTCTAGTCTATTGAAAGCTTTTCTTTTCTTTTTTTTTATGGGCACTTTTCCTTTTTAATCCTGATGCTTTACAGCCACTTCCCTCCCACTTCTTGCCCTGAGCAGTTCTTTGCAATAGTTCTCAAATTCATGTATTTCCTTCAGTGAAATCTCATCTATCAATTTTATGAAGAGAATGATTTAGAATTGTTTTTACCTTTCCCACAGCGCCAGTAGCCTGCCTTGATTTTCCTTTCTAACATTTGCAACACTTCATAATTTAGGGCCCGCTGCTGATCCCCCTCTCACAACTATTTGTGGTATTTCTCTGAACCGCTCAGCTGCGCTCCGGAGGAGGACAGCCTCAGAGACGCTCCGTGCATAGGAGCTCTCCTTTCTGGTAAATGACTCTTTTCTCCAAACTGCACTCTCCAGGAGAGCGGAAGTAAGGACCCTG